CCACAAGTGTGAATTCGCAGAGCACCACTCGAAGAAAGATGGTCACAGGTATGTAACCTACCATTATTAAGCCTCGGCACTGTAAGAGGGTTTTGTGAGACCAGTTGCTCTCATTGCAATGGTGTAGTAATGGTGAGGCCACAGACCATATTTTAGTTCTTGTGGACCACTAATGGTCCATGGACCACAGGTTGGGAACCACTGATATATATGTTGTTTCCCCATTAGGACTGTATGTAATAAGAGTTCTCCTATTCGGCAGAGAAAGGCAGCCATTTCTGCTATTCAGCATTAAGATAAATGTTCTCTGTCTTTTCCTTAGGACTTGACCTAGATCAGGGTCCCCATTTTAATACCATTATAAAAAGAGAGGTCACCATTCTGCTAGTAGAATTGGCCTTTGGTGCTTTTCAATTAAGACTGGACCAAGATAGGTGTATTTCTGCCAAGCAAAGAGAGGCAACTATTTTAGGGTGTCAAAGAACTTTATTACACAAGATAAGCAAACTAGCATTGCCGCTGGACCTTTGATTATATAAAAGTAAGTGTGTCTGTGGGCTCCAGAACTGTGGATTGAATCATCTTTCCAGGACTGAGAAGATATAATGCCACAAATTGAAAGAAGTGAGATCTGCAGCTCGATAATGCTGCGGGGCACCTATACCAGGGACCTGAACAACACGAGTTTTGATATCAAGAGGGGTTCCTGGAACCAATGCCACACAGATATCAAGGGCTGCATGTGTTTACTTTATTGTATTTTTCTTTTCAAGGACCCTTGGGTCTCCCCACAATATACTAAAACGTTTGCTTTTGACTTATTTGCCTTTGGACTCTGACATGAGAGGGGAGCCCCATCTACAGGTTTGTTTCAGAGAACAAAATGTTTAGGTCAGCCCTGGACCTTGAGCAAGAAGAGCAAGGGCAGGAGAGAACATTGTGCAGTGATGAATGTTGAGGAAAAGGATTGGGGGCAGAGGAAAAGTCTCACTTGGTCATGAGATTCATTTGTTCAGAGCAGTTGACCTTGCTATGAAGCTTTACTCAGCATTGGTAATTACTGAAGTAATTGGGCCCAAGAGAGAACATAATAACTGAGACTAGTCAGATATGCTTTCACTACGTTTAGCAGCTACAACAGAAGACCTTGGTGTTTGGACAGGAGCAACAAACATTTCCTATATTAATTGCTCAGAGATTTGAGATGTTGCTTCTTGACCACAGCTAGCTTGGAGAATTTTGGGGAGATAAAGTCCAAAAAGATCTGCAGCCTCCACCAAACCACTATTATTCTTCATGTGTTCCTTTAAGTCATTCTGACTATGGCAGCCTTAAGGCAACCCTATCATGGGATTTTCTTGGCAAGATTTGTTAAGAGAGAATTCACCACTGTCTTCCTATGAGATAGTGTGTCTTATTCTCATACCAAGCAGGGGTTTGAAAACTGGTTTCCTGGATCAATTCTCAAATCATCACACTATGGTGGCTCTTGTGCTACTGAATTTTCCTCTTTCTAGGCTTCGATTGCATGATGGGAAGCTGATAAAGGACAGGCGCTTCCATCTCCGCACGTATCCAAATTGCTTTGTGGCTAAGGAGCTCACTGATTGGCTGATCAACCACAAGGAGGCACCAGATCGAGAAACGGGCATTCGGTTGATGCAGAAGCTCATGGACCATAACATTATCCATCATGGTTAGTGCCCTCTTCTGTTCTGATATTGCTTAGGGGTTCTATGCTCAGCGGCATGGATTTACTTTGCATGGAATTACTCTTAGATTTACTCAAGTAGTTTCCTCAAATAGCTGGGCAATGAGGAGCTGTAGAATTTCTGGAATGAGATAAACCTTGAAAGCATAAGACCCTGTTACACTGTCCTGAGTGTGGTGTAGAGGCACAGAGGAGCAAGGAAGACAGAGAAAAAAAGCTGTTCTGCCAGCACTGAAGCATCTCAGGAGCAGGCAGGACATCTTTCTCAGATATAGTTTCCTCTGCTGATCCTCTGTAGGCACAGCATCACAGGGAATAGGGATCTACCCTGTGCTAGATTGGGTCACACTCCCCCTGAAGACACAGATTTACAGTTTGGGGGTCCTCCTAGACTTGGCACTGAACTTGGAGGTCCAGATATCTGTGATGGCCAGGAGTGCCTTTGCACAATTAAAACTTGTGCAACAACTGCACCTGTTCCTTGAGAAGCCGGATCTGAACATGGTGGTACATGCCTCAGCTACATCTTGCTTGGATTACTGTAACACAGTCTACGTAGAGTTGCCTTCAAAGAATACTTGGAAACTTCAGCTGGTCCAAAGAGCTGCAGCCAGGTTGCTCACTGGGGTTGGCTACAGGGAGCGGACAACCCCCCCCCCCTTTTGCAGCAGCTCCACTGGCTGCCAGTGTGTTTCTGGGCACAATTCAAAGTGCTGGTTATGCCCTTTAAAGCCCTAGACACTTCGGTTCCAGGCTCCTTGGTTGACTGCATCCTCTTGTACAAACTTGCCCGGGCCTTGAGATCTTCAGGAGAGGCCCTTATCTCAGTCCCACCTCCATCTCAAGCTTGGTTGGTGGGAATGAGAGAGTGGGCCTTCCTTCTTGTTGGCCGCCCCTCGACTGGAACTCCCTGCCCAGGGAAACCAGAATGACCTGCTGTCCTTCCAGTGGAAGGCGAAAACCTTTTATTGAAGCAGGCTTTTAAAGATGAAGGTGTTTAAGATCAAGTCAGGGGGTGACATGGTTTTAGCTCTGAATCAGTTTTAATGATTTTAACTGTTTATTCTTGATAACATTAATATTTAATTCTATTTTAATGTTTGCCTATTTTTGGGTTTTAAATTGTATTGAACTGGTTGTGAGTCTTGTTTGTAGAGAGAAAAAATGGGAGTATAAATAAACATAATAAACATAATCATCATCTCTGAGGATGCTTACCTCTGAGGATGCTTGTGATAGATGCAGGCGAAACGTCAGGAGAGAATGCCTCTAGAACATGGCCATATAGGCTGAAAAAACCTACAACAACCCAATCATCATCATCATATTTTTTTCTCTGCGGTTTTTCCACTTTCACTGGGGTTCTATGTTCCAAATCTTGGCAAATATGGATGGCAGACTCTATATATTTGGATATATTGGCTTTAATGCTGTTGCTGCCTTATGAATGCATGAGTTCCCTTGTAGAAGCAAGTGGACATTTTTATCTGGTGCATAATATCCACATTGGATTCAAGGTTGCAGAAGTGAAAGTTAGCCATTTCCTTGTGGACAGATGTACATGTGTATGTGTGTAGAATGTGCACTGGATAGATATGGATGTATGGATTGTTCATCTGGTTATTCATATGGGAGTAAATTCAAAGGTGCAATACTACCATTTAACACAGCGGTTCTCAACCTGGGGTCCCCAGATGTTGTTAGCCTACAACTCCCAGAAATCCCAGCCAGTTCACCAGCTGTTAGGATTTCTGGGAGTTGAAGGCCAAAAACATCTGGGGACCCCAGGTTGAGAACCACTGAAGGATTGTGTAGCACAATCGATGCATAATTTGACATGTGGAGATTTGTGCTGCATACCGAAGGGTCAAATCCTGTTTGGTTTCAAACAGTACAGCATAAACTACATAGCGTGGAAATGAGTTCCCAGAAACTTCCAGTCTCCATGGCTATGGTCGCCTTGACTGGAGAATTCTGGAAACTGTAGTCCAAAAAACCCAACTTCTCCAAGCTATTAAAGTACAGTACTGTGCATCTGTATATCACAGCAAGCTGCCATAGTGTTGGAATTAATGGCATTCTTTGATTTTATAATAAAATGTGGTTAGTAAAAAAAATAGAGATAATGTTGAACCTGTTCAAGGACAGCTCAACGTTCATGATAGAAGAGGTAGGAAGGTGTTTTTTTTTTAAAAGTAGAGTAGTGCAAATTTTCTAAGAGAGTCCACAGTGATGAAGACTACCATTGAGAAGGAACCAGTCATGTGAGAAGCTGCGGGGAGTCTCATGCTGGATGAATGCTCTCCTTTCACGCCGATCTGGCAGAGTCCCTTCCAGGCACTGTTCTTCCCAAGGAGCTCGACAAGGCTTGGGTCTGTCTCTGTCTTGCCTTCAGCCCCAGGCTGTCACAGAACCAAAATAAACAGAGGCTTGTGGAGAGAGTTCTGTCGCCAGTCTGAGGCAGGGCTGGGAATGGTTAAAATGTTTGAGACAGGGAACATGGGCAGTGTGGTCGTTGTGGTGGGGTGGGAGAATGAGAGCATCGTACCTACAAAAAGGATCAAGGGAATTTCCATGTCCACGTGGCACATCACATGCACACGTCTGAGAACCTAGATTACAGAGACAGAAGGACATGTTAACAGATATTCTTTTGTGAGTATGAGTTGAATATAAGAAAAGTAAGGGTATGCACACATTTCAGGTACAAATCTGTGAATTTTCTTATATTCCCACCTTTACAGCCAATCCATACTCTTATGTATGTATGTATATATGCACATTCAGCACTCCACATTTACTTGGGCTAGGGCAAAGCTTTCCAAAAATTTCATGTTGGTGATATACTTTTTAGATGTGCATCATTTCACAAGATAGAAATTCGATTTTACTAGCAAGGCGGATGTTAAATCAAGAGATAGGGACACTTTTTTTTTTGTCATGTCAGGAATGACTTGAGAAACTGCAAGTCGCTTCTGGTGTGAGAGAATTGACCGTCTGCAAGGACATTGCCCAGGGGACGCCTGGATGAATTAATGTTTTTTTTATCATCCTTGTGGGAGGCTTCTCTCATGTCCACGCATGAGGAGCTGGAGCTGATAGAGGGAGCTCATCCGCCTCTCCCCGGATTCGAACCTGCGACCTGTCGGTCTTCAGTCCTTCCGGCACAGGGGTTTAACCCACTGCACTACCGAGGGCTCCTATATGGACACATGCATAACTTGAAATGTATGGGAACACAACATATCTCATGAAAACCTTTCATGTATATATATTATTTGCAAGATAATTATTATCTTGAAAATAATAAATTATTATTATCTTGCAAATAATTATTATCTTGCAAATAATAAATATATTATTTGCAAGATAATAGCATACATTTTCAATTTTTTTGTCATTTCACATTACGTTTGTGTGACAAACCTACACACTTCAGCCAACATACTAACATGTCACAACACTTAGTTTGAAAAACTCTGGGTTAGGGACAGAGAACTCCCATGGATGTTGAAAACCATGATTAAAAATGGCTATTTTTATACCTTTATAAAGTCCTCCAGCATGACTTTGTGGTCAACGTTGGAGGAAGCTAATAATAAATAATGATAATTTATTTGTATCCCACCCCCTCTTCCAAAAGGGACTCGGAGCGGCTTAGTTGTCCAAGGAGTCATACTAGAGGACCTAGAGATTCCTAGAGATAACATTTTAATCAAATCCCCGAATAATCAATTCTACAAGAGTCAAACCTGCAAATGTGGAGGGATGGCTGTATGTATATTTACATATGCATATCTCCCAACGCATAATCCACTCCTCTCTTTTCATTTTTTATTCTGTGAACACATTTCTGCACATGTTCACCTTGTATGTCACTTGCATACCTTTCATCAAGACAAATTGCGTGCACTGTATTTTTGTACACAATGGAAATAGACACAATGGAAACATCTTTTCTTTATTTTATTCATTTTTCTTCTCCTACTTTACTATATGACATTGTTCCCACTCTTTCTATGTACCCAAGGGGAAATCTACCATTCTCCTTTTCTTTCTTTCAGCTTCAATCTTGAGGAGCAACATATCCTAAATAAAAACAACTTTAAAAAACAAAACAAATTAGACATACACGCACCAAAAAAAAGTCAACTTCCATCTGCATCTTGGTGGTGGTCACAAAGTGTTTGCTGAGCCTTCGTTGCCTTATTTATCTTAGTTTCCTCTTCTTTCCCCTTATTTTTCTATCATATTTTTCCCTAGGCAGAAGCTTCTTAATTTAGGACAGGTTATCCCAAATTCTTTTAAATTAGAATTTTCATCTTTTCTTTTTTGTGGCAGTCTTTTACTCTTTCCCAGTTAATTTGTATCTTCCTTCTTCTTTGTTACGGCATCATCAAGTAAGTCAATCTATCCATATTCATAATTCCCATTAGTTTCAATAACCATTCATCTATTGTTGGTGTTTCTTCATTTCTCCAGCACCTAGCATAGATTATAGGAAAATCACATTCTCCAAAGAAGGAGCCTTCACCACCACCTTCATCATGTATTCAGTACAAGATAGTTTGTATGTCCCATTAAGATATTCGTATAATACCGTCAGCTTGGCACATTTACTGGGGTTAGGAGCACAAAACCCCTGTGAAAGTGAAAAATGACAAAAAGAACCATTTTTAAAAAAACTGGAAAGAACACCCTTTAAAAAAATCCCTAGGCCTTTATGATCTAGAGAAAGTTGACCATAGAATTACACTGTTGAATCTAGAGATTCTTAGAGAGAACAATTTAATCAAATCCGTGAATATTCAAATCCACAAAAGTCAAAACTGCAAATGTGGAGGGCCAATTGTAGCATGTATTCATGTAAGTTTCTCTCTCTTTCTACAACCGTCTGTGTTTGTCCTTAATTTTGCAGCCTGCAATTCTATCTCCTACATACTTGAACAGCATGTTATCATTATGAGTTGCTATGAAATCTTATTTTCAGCTTTTCCTATCTTGTACATTCTCCCTCGTTAATAATGTTTGCCCACTTGATCATACTATGATGTTGCTTGACCACATGTGTTCTGTGTCAAAAGTTGTAGGGGATGTGAGAGACATCTATCAATATCAGAAAAAGAAAATGTTTTGTAACCTGTAAGTGGAAAATTACTGGCATTAATGCCATACCTCGAAATGGCTGGAGTAAACACATTCAGATCTGTAACACAGAGGTCAAAATTTCCTGACTTTTCAGAATGGGCAAGGTGTTATCCAAAGGAGTAATGTTTGCAGGTCTTTGATTCTTGCTTGAGTGATGTAGCAAGGTAAACAGTTCTGTTCCCTGCCATCTGCTGCCTGGGGGAAAGCTTGATCTACCTTGAATCGGATTAAATTCTGCTGTGGTGCTCCAATGCAGGTGCAATTAGTCTGGGCTTAATTATTAACATTTGCTCGTGATCTCAATCTCTCACACTACACTTTCCTGCTGCTATTAGTTTTTCACAGCCTGGAGAGCTGTTACAAAAGAAACCCCAAACTTTTCATAGAATCATAGAGTTGGAAGAGACCCCATGGGCTATCTCACATAGAAAATAAACACACCCAGCCAGAAAGAATCTACAATTGCATTGCACAAGTATTACAAAAAAGAGCAGAACAAAAATATTTTCAGCAATGAGTAAAATAAAGCCATTCATTTTAACCTTTTTAATGTTATTCAGTCCCCTTGGACGCAAGCTGATTCATTCCCTTGAACTCATTTCAGTTTGTGATGAACATCTGGACTACAAGGATGCCAAACTGCTATATCGCTTTCGCAAGGACGATGGGACCTTCCCTCTCAACAAGGATGTCAAGGTGTTCATGAGGGGCCAGAGCCTGTATGAAACGTACGTGAGTCCTTGGTCCGTGGATCATAAAACTAACTGCTTTTATTACTCCTGCTGAGTGAAGCATCTCCCTTCTTCCCTCTGCATATTTTTGGTGCTTTGATAGTTTTTTTCTAGTGTGAAGTTCAATAATTGAAAATTCTACAATAATGTCAAATATGAAAACCTGTTCAGTGTTGGTGACATGTGAATCATAGAATCAGAGAGTTGGAAAAAATTTGAAGGATCATCTAGTCCAGTCTCTGGCCAAAAGTGGCCATCTAACCTCAGGTAAGTTGTTCCACAGTCATTTAGCTTTTACCACCAATAATGTCTTCTAATGTTCAGTTGGGATCTCATTCCCTACAATCTGGATTTATTTAAGTCGTTGACGTGCTGGCTAATACCCAAACAAGGGATGAGCTGCCTTGGTCCTTTCATTATTGGCTGCTACTTCCCGGCGGATGCCAGGTGGTGCAATACCGGCTAGACAGTGTAGTTTCTCCAGTGGTGTAGGGCGCAGACACCCCATGATGATGCAGCATGTCTTATTAAGAGCCACATCCACTGTTTTAGCATGGTGAGATGTGTTCCACACTGGGCATACATACTCAGCAGCAGAGTAGCATAGCGCAAGGGCAGATGCCTTCACTGTGTCTGGTTGTGATCCCCAGGTTGTGCCAGTCAGCTTTTGTATGATAATGTTTCTAGCACCCACTTTTTGCTTGATGTTCAGGCAGTGCTTTTTGTAGGTAAGAGCACTGTCCAGAGTGACTCTCAGGTATTTGGGTGTGTTGCAATGCTCCAGTGGGATACCTTCCCACGTGATCCTAAGAGCTCGGGATGCTTGTCTGTTCTTGAGATGAAAAGACTTAAATTAAGAAATAGTTTTCTAAGATCTACAGAGGCACTCGCTGGAACACCCCAGCAAGCGAGAGTCCAAAAGTGGCAGGCTCAAACCCAGAACCTCAATCAATGGCTGATACCAAATGAGAGACTATCCCCTGGGCATACAGAAAACTGGGCGACTTGGAAGGCGCTGAACAGACTGTGCTCTGGCACCACGAGATGCAGAGCCAACCTCAAGAAATGGGGCTACAAAGTGGAATCCACAACATGCAAGTGTGGAGATGAGCAAACCACTGACCACCTGCTGCAATGCAACCTGAGCCCTGCCACATGCACAATGGAGGACCTCCTTGCAGCAACACCAGAGGCACTCCAAGTGGCCAGCGACTGGTCGAAGCACATTTAATCAACTATCAAGTTTGCAAACTCTGTTTTGTCTGTTTATTAAATTTTTGTTAAAAATGTAATACAATTGTCTGGTTGCTACTGACGCGATAAATGAATCTGGATTTATTGGTTTGGATTCTCTCTTCTGGGGCAGAAGAAAACAAGCTTGCTTCATCTTTTTCATGGCAACGCTTCAGGTATGGCTATGACAGCTCTTCTCAAGGCTAAACATGACCACCTCCCTCAACCATACCTTGTAGGGTTTTGTTTCCAGGTATTTTATTGTCATGCTCACACTCTTTAAATGTTTCAGATAATTTAGAAATACACACACGGAGACCCACTATGTGATGTTAGACAAATCACACTGTCTCAGCCTCAGAGGATGGCAAATACAAAAGCAAAACACCTTGCAAATAACAACAACTTCTACTTCTTCCTCTTCCTCTTTGCAACATCAATGCACACAATATTTTACAAGTAAAAGCATTGTGGTAATAAGGTGCACACAACTGCTGAACTAAATTTTCATGTTTTGATGCCTTGGGACAGAAAATAACTAGTCAAATAATATTTGGAAAGCCATTTTTACAGTTACTGTCTCATTTCTTTGAGACCGATGGGTAAATCAACAAATCAATAAATTCAGATTACAAGAAAGGAGATTCTGAAGAAACATTAACCCCCCCCTCCCAATTCTGGCTATTCAATAGAGAAACAGATTATTTTGGAATGTGATGGCCTCTCCTTAGTGGGAGAGCGGATGGCACTTCTCAGGGATGTTTGGACTAGATGGTCCTTGGGTTCCCTTCCAACTGTAGGATTCTCATTCCTATGACAGGATAGTTTAGCTAGTTTAGTACAACTTTGAAGAGTAATTTGTCTGTGTTGGTTACATTCAGCAGGCTTTGCACTCCCTCTTGTGGTTGTGACCATAAGTCTGAACAGGTGAAGAGAAGCATGGTTTTGAAGGAGTTCCTCAAAAATGCAAGAGAATATTCACAGGAGAACCTTTGACAAACCAGTATTCTGACAAACCAGTCTTATCAGTATTGTACCACATAGGGACGTCAAGTTTGTATTATTCTGGGCTCTGAGAATTCAGGGCCAAAGCATGAAACCAAGAGAGAACTCCTTGTGACATCACTGGGGACAAACCCTGGTGATGTTATTAAACATGATTCATTAATAAAAATTAGTTTACTAAAGAACACCCTGTCTAACAAATATATATTCATACAAAAATGCTAATATGTGCTTTTCAAAGTGATGCCTTTCCTAATGGCACTGGGGATGGGAGAGCCTGTGATCAGAGGATGCTAGTATTTATTTATTTATTTACTATATTTGTATACCGCTCTTCTCAGCCCTCAGGGCAACTCAGAGCGGTTAATAAAGCAAATACAATACTTAAACATGATTTTTTTTGTCATGTCAGGAGCAACTTGAGGAACTGCAAGTTGCTTCTGGTGTGAGAGAATTGGCCGTCTGCAAGGACATTGCCCAGGGGATGCCCGGATGATTTGATGTTTTTATTATCCTTCTGGGAGGCGTCTCTCGTGTCCCCGCATGAGGAGCTGGAGTTGATAGAGGGAGCTCATCCGCCTCTCCCCAGATTCGAACCTGCGACCTGTCGGTCTTCAGTCCTGCCGGCACAGGGGTTTAACCTACTGCACCATCGGGGGCTCCACTTAAACATGATAAAAACTGTTAAAAACAAGTTAAAAGAATAACATTATAACAATCAATAAACATCATAACATCTCATCTCATAGTTAAAATGAAAATCCAGTCTCATCATCCAAATGTTCCATATTTCTATATTGGTTACACTGCCTATTCAAATGCCTGCTCAAACAACCAGGTCTTCACTTTCCTCCAAAATGTGAACAGGGAGGGGGCTGATCTAATTTCCGTGGGAAGGGCGTTCCATAGCCGAGGGGCCACCACTGAGAAGGCCCTGTCTCTTGTCCCCGCCAACCGTACTTGTGATGAAGGCGGGACCGAGAGCAGGGCCTCCCCAGACGATCTTAACATACTAGCTGGTCCATAGGAGGAGATACGTTCGGGCAAGTAAGTTGGACCAGAACCGTTTAGGGCTTTAGTATCACACTATTTAGTATCACACGTTTAGTATCACACTATTATGTTGCATAACTGTAAATCAGAGCCTAAATAGTAAATACACTGAAGGCACCAGATTCTATCTGATCTTAGAAGCTAATCAAGATTAACTTGGTTACCATTTGAATGGGAGACTGCCAACAAATACCAACTGCTGTAGGCTATAAGTGAGAGGAAGGACCTGGCAAAATGACCTCTAAGTATTGCTGTAAGTCAACAGGGAACTTGAAGGCACATGAATACATATATATATGTTGATCAGCACATCTTCAGTCTCTTCCTTCTTGTTATGTTCTAGATTGATCAATGCAGAAGACTCCTTCCTGAAGGTTAGAGAAGAGAACTCTGTGAAATATCAAAGGACATTCCTCAGTTGTGAAATGGTCGACTGGCTGGTCCAAGAAGGGGAAGCAACAAACCGGAAAGAGGCTGTAGAGCTCTGCCAAACCCTCCTTGAGCATGGAATCATCCAGCATGGTATGAGGAAGGAAATCATGGCTCAGACAGAAGGAGCTTCTTAGCTGGCAGGCAATAAAAGATGTATTGTCCAAGGCTTTCATGGCTGGAATTACTGGGTTGTTGTAGGTTTTTCGGGCTATATAGCCATGTTCTAGAAGCATTCTCTCCTGACGTTTCACCTGCATCTATGGCCAACATCCTCAGAGGTTGAGAGGTGTAGTTTCAATAACTGGTATCCAAACTATAACCGGCCAAATAGAAACTTATTTTATTTTACTCATTTATATCCTACATTTCAGTAAACCTTTATAGTAAACCACTGACAGATGTTGACTGTAGAGTTGCACTAGAGGACCTAAAGATTCCCAGAGAGACCATATTAATCAAATTTATGCATCATCAGATCTTCAAAAATTAAACTTCAAAATGTTAGAGAGCCAGCTCTACTCTGAAAGGAAAGAACATCACTTTCAGTGGTGGCCAGAAATGGACAAAAGGTCAAGAAAAGAGAGAGAAAATACTGTTTTGTTGCGTGCTGGGTCTGTAGAAATTGTCTTTTGAATAGGACGTGCACTTTGTGCCCAGCGGGAAGCCAGGATGCCTTGAAAGAGAGGCCCTCAAGGATTTTCCTGTACAATAGTCTTAGAGGCTTGAAAGGTTTAACAAAGTCCTTTATTATTGAACAAATTAAACAAATACTTCCCAGATCTTCAATGAGTCAAACAAATGCTTCTTAACTTGTCTACAATGGACAGGCACCTTGCTTGGAGAACTATTTCTTTCTTTAACAAGGAAAACCCTTTTAAACCTCTCCCAGGCTGTCTACTATCTAAGCTTTGCTGATGTGGGTTCTACTACTGGATTCAAACTGCTGCTTGGACGCTGAGTAGACCTACCAATCAAGGCTTGTAGATTCTCCAGTTGGAGTTCTTTGGGTCTGTAAAGCTGTTTTCCCCCGGATGCTGTAAGGCTGAGAGGCTGTAAGCTCCCAGCCAAAGCTTTGGGACTTTCCCCCTGGAAATTCTTAAGAAATGAAGCTTTTCTGCAGGTGAAGCTGGTCCACATCCTATAGCTTAGTTTCCTTCTGTAAGACTGAACTAAAAATGGCTCCCTTTCCTCCCCAGATCCCTGGGGAAAGGGGCAGAACCAAACACAACAATGATAGACAGATGGCTAGCCCTATAACTGCAAACCAAGGGAAGTCACCTTTTTGCAAAACCCCTGAAACCTTGGAATGCATGCAAACATTAAATAGAAAGAAAATGAAGTTAGAGCTCCTGGTACAGCCGTACCAGCAGAAATACTAACAATTATTATATACTCTCCCAGGTTAATAATAGAAGACTGGTTAACCCAAACATGGGCAAACTTCAGCCCTCCAGGTGTTTTGGACTTCATCTCCCACAATTCCTAACAGCCGGTAGGCTGTTAGGAATTGTAGGAGCTAAAGTCCAAAACACCTGGAGGGCAGAAGTTTGCCCATGCCTGGGTTAACCTCATGATTTGATTATTTCTGTGTACCCTCTCCAGGGTGGGTGGGCCCAGGGTGAACCACTGCCTTATCCTGTTTCTCTCACCCATTGTCTCTTCAGTCTCTGGCCGGCACCAGTTTTATGACAGTGACCTCCTCTATCAATTTCGCATCAATTTCCGTCGAAGGAGGCGCCTCACAGAGCTGCTCAATGAGAACTCGCTCAGGGCATCCTCAGACAGCCCCGACAGCCCCTTCTGCCTCCGCAAACTCAACCCCGAGCAAAATGGTTCTAGCTTCCTCTCAGGTGACTGGATTTTTGTGCGATTTCCTGTGTGGAGTATTCAGGGTAGGATGATATTCTTGCATGAACACCTCATATCTGTAAAACTTGGATGTAGACTGTTTTCAGCACTTTGGGTTGAAGAAGTAGTCTTTGTAGTCTTTGGGTCAGAGGAGAGTTGTGAACCACTTCCCCTGCTCACCTTCCAACTGGAATATGAATAGAGTACTTGACAATGTATTGTCAAAGGCTTTCAGGGTTGGAATCACTGGGTTGTTGTAGGTTTTTCAGGCTTATATGGCCATGTTCTAGAAGCATTCTAGAATATTTCACATGCACCTATGGCCGACATCCTCAGAGATTCACAACCTACGAGGATGCTTGCCATAGATGCAGGTGAAACATCAGGAGAGAATGCTTCTAGAACATGGCCATATAGCCCTAAAACCCTACAACAATCCAGAGTACTTAACACTTTCCACCACCCAATGGTTTTTTGTTCACCCAACATTAAGAGCATGGATATGATGCTTAACTCCTTCCCATGCTCCACATATTTTGAGCATGCAGGGAATACTTGTAGTAGGTGCTTGACTTTCATCCCTCACCTCCAGCTATTCCATTATCATCCACTACTGACTTCTCTTTTTAGTCTGTGGCAAAAATTATCACAAACATAGAGCTAGAATAGGGGTGAACAACTCTGGTGGGGGCAACAATAAATTGGAATCCACTTCATAGGTCATGAGAAGTCATATCTGGTTTTAACTTCCTGTAGTTTTTGTATTTTGACAAAGTTGGAGTTGCTGCCTTTGAAGGCCATTTTGGATGATTTTCAGGACTTTTGGCTGTATTTTATATTATATTTTATTAAAAATTGTGTGAAAGCCTCTGGAAACTCTGCAGGGATCCAGAGGGGCACTAAAAGCAGTTGTGTCTCTGTGCACCTGATTTAGAAGCTTGCTTGGGAATTGAGAAGATAAAGGAAATGTAGGGAAGATGTATACTGTCAAGAGAAAGTTAGACTTTTGCCTCTTACACAAGTTCTTCATTGAATTCACAAGAGTTGGCATATTTGACAGCCCAGTGAAACTGAACTTTGCAGAAGTTCAGATTCTTCAGCATTACTCAAACCTTAACTTTCTCCTTGAGGAACGAAACAGTTTTGGAGAGTAGTGCGATTGTTTTCACTTCCACTAAGCTCAATTTTATCTCTTTCAGTCCAACCCAATAAAGAAATCAAACTGGTCTCTGCAGTTCGACGGAGCAGTGTCACCTCGCTTGCCGGTGGAGCCAATGCCTACTTCAATCTCTCTCCAAGTTTGGGTCTCCTGCCAGCTGTTGAATGCAACCCCAAATCTGGTGAGAAATTCTTCTTGTGCTTAATATTTCTTTTACATGAAGTTTCAGATACAAGCAGAGAGGGTGTTGGTCAAGATTTTATTGCAAAGCTTAGGATAAGTTCTACAACAACGGTTCCAAACTTGTGGTCCGGGGACCACTGGTGGTCCGAAAGAACTAAAGTATGGTCTGTGGCCTCATCATAACTAATACAGATAATAACACATCCCAACCAATTTTTTTACCTTGGTGTCTTCATTTTAGGCCTGTTCCTGGGATTATTTGGGGTGCTGATTCAGAAAATTGCATTGGATAGCCCACATCAGCTCTAGATATGGTTTTCTGTGGTCGAGCAGATGGTGACTACCGGATGGCATATATTCTGTATCAGAAACTACAGCTGATATGGTCTATCCAATGCAATTTTCTGAATCAGCACTTGAAATAACCAAACAAAATCTAAAGTTGACCAAAAACTGATTTGTGACAATTTGGTCCTAATGTTGGACAGTGGTCCCTGGTGAAAGTGGTCCCTGGTCAACCGGCCTACAAGAAGAGGTACTGTATATAGAAGCCTGAAAGACTGAGGTGTAAAATGTAAGTTCTGTGGCGTCTTGCAAGGTAGGCTGGATTTACACTGTCCTATATCCCAGGATCTGATCCCATATTATCTAATTTGAATTGGATTATATGAATCTACACTGCCAGTTAATGTGGGATAAGCAGATAATCTGAGATCAGATCCCGGGATATAGGGCTGTGTAGATCCAGCCATAGTTTCTAGTACCTTTTCTTCTATGACAATGTTTCCCAATCTTTGGTCCTCCAGGAGTTTTGGATTTCAAGTCCCAGTAGCCCCAGCCATCTTTGCCAACTGTCAGGGATTTTGGGAGCTGAAGTCTAAAACTCCTTGAGACCCAAAGGTTGGGAACCACTGAGGTTGAAAAGAAGACTAGTAGACTGTCAAATGTTTTTTAGCACTTTTCTTTCCCCTTGCACAAGATTCCTATATATTTGTCAGGCTTCATTCCTTCTAGAGGAGCAACTGTGCTTTCAAATGCCACCTAATAAGTTAAAAGATATTAGGAGCCTTCTATTTTTAACCTATTTTTAGACAAATCTATTTTATTTTTTATCTTCTATTCTACTCCCTCTATCATGTAGAAGATCATGCAGGCACCCTGTTATGATCTCAGATGATGCAACCACAATAGCCAGGTACTTGCAGCAAACTCTGTTGCCGAGGTATGGGCAAACTTGGACCCTCCAGGTGTTTGGACTTCAACTCTCACAATTCCTAACAGCCTCAGCCCCCTTCCTTTCCCCCCTTTTCCCACTTAAGGGGCTAAGGGGGAAAAGGAAGGGGCCTGAGGCTGTTAGAAATTGTGGGAGTTGAATTCCAAAACACCTGGGGAGCCGAAGTTTGCCCATGCTTGCTGCAGCCAGTGGGGAGTGATAGAAATGACACAGAGGACAAGGTAACATCCCAGTGGGTCCAATGTGGCCCTGGCACTGGCCTTAGGTTTTGAACACTGGCCTTGGATTCAGCAGATACATGGGAAAACCTTTACCTTTACCTTACGCTGGATCTGGGTTGGTCCAGGGAGGAGATACACCAGAGTAAATTGTTTGGTATTGACAATGACATGGCCACAGAAAGACTTTCACCACAGGAGGGAGCACCTCCTCTAAAAATGTGGCAAGCAAATAGAAATATCGTCCAATTTCTTGTCTTTCTACTTTCTGGCATGGTCTCAGAATGGGGAAATCTATCAATTTGGATATCTCCTATATTTCCGTGTTGAAAACTTCTACTTGTGCCATCCCAAATATGAATCCATTTGCAAATTTGGGTAAATTCTTCAAAAATGAGCTGGAATGGAATTATCCATTGGCACTAAGTCAAATGATATGATTCCCAGCATGAAGAAAACAATAACATGCCTGCTGTGCCTCTATAAAAGATGAAGAGCTTCTTCTGGGAAAAACTGGCAACTCTAAGTCATCATAAAATCTTAGCTGGATACCCAATCACACAGGGATTCAAACGCAAAGAGATTTTTTTATCTATAGAGATAGTTAAGTGCTGAACATCTTGAGCCTGGGCAGATGAATGAAATTGCAGTTGACCCTCTACATTTGCTAGTTTTAGAGGTACAAGTCTCCTAGAAAAACCATAAAATTTTAAAATCAATTTCTTATCTCTAGAAATATCCAACATATGCATCCCCATCCGCACTGCCAAATAATGCAGGAATCAGCCAGGCCTTGAAGCTGCAAGGCTTTGCAATGCTAATCAAGGTGGTCAAATGTAACATTCACACTTCAAACAGACAATACGTCTTTCTCCCAATCTGGACCTTCCACAGATATATAAAACTCCCTTGCTTAGTGCCCAATATACCTCACAACCTCTGAGGATGCCTGCCATAAATGTGGGTGAAACATCAGGAGTGAATGTTTCTGGAACATGGCCATACAGTCCAGAAAACTCACAGCAACCCAATGCAGTTTGAAACTGCATTATATAGCAGTGTAGATGGGAGCTCCAGTGATCAACTCTCAAAGCTCATACAGTTGCATTGGAGGACCTAGAAATTCCCAGAGAGACCATATTCATCAAATGTGCTAATAATTAAATCTGCAAAGGTTAAACCTGCAAATGTGGAGGGCCAGCCACAATCAATTTGTCCCATATTCAGTGCTATTCATTTGAAGCAGTGTATGGGAAATTGGGTATGTGCCACCTGATGGCGCAGCGGGTTGAACCGCTGAGCTGATGAACTTGCTGACTGAAATGTTGGCAGTTAGAATCCATGGAGTGGAGTGAGCTCTCGCTGTTAGGCCCAGCTTCTGCCAACCTAGCAGTTCGAAAGCATTCAAATGTGAGTAGATAAATAGGCACTGCTTTTGCGGGAATGTAACGACTTAATGTCAGGGGAAAACTTTACCTTTACCTTATGGGAAATTTACTTTGAGGGCTGCAATATCCAGAATCCTGGGTGACCATTCTGGTTGGGGGATTATGGGAGTTATACCTTTATTTATTTATTTTGTACACCTCTATCCCACCCTTCTCCCCACAAGGGGGACCAAGGGTGGCCTCACAAAGGCATCAACGATGCTTGCAACATATACATCATACAAATACAATAAAATAGTCAAACAGTAAAAACAGCTTAAAACATCATACACATCAGTCAATAAATTCATTTACCAATGATATTAAAATGCCAGAAAAACCAAAACTCAAGAATCAAGCCGGGAAATCCAATGTCACAAACCCAAATTCCTTTCCTATTGTCACTTTCATCTAATCAAACGCCTGGCCACAGAGCCAGGTCTTCAGTTGTCTTCTAAAGGACAGGAGGGAGGTGGCTAACCTGATGTCCTTAGGGAGGGAGTTTCATAGATGGGGGGCCACTACCGAGAAGACCCTGTCTCTCATCCCCACCAACTGCATTTGTGAGAGTGGTGGGATCGAGAGCAGGGCCTCTCCTGATGATCTTAAGCTTCGTGATGGTTCATAGCAGGAGATATCAAGAGCCCCCGGTGGCGCAGTGAGTTAAACCCCTGTGCAGGCAGGACTGAAGACCGACAGGTCGCAGGTTCGAATCCGGGGAGAGGCGGATGAGCTCCCTCTATCAGCTCCAGCTCCTCATGCGGGAACATGAGAGAAGCCTCCCACAAGGATGATAAAAACATCAAAGTCATCCGGGTGTCCCCTGGGCAACGTCCTTGCAGATGGCCAATTCTCTCACACCAGAAGCGACTTGCAGTTTCTCAAGTCGCTCCTGACATGGCAGAATAGCAGGAGATACATTCGGACAAGTAATTCAGGGCTTTAAAGGTTAAAATCAGCACTTTGAATTGTGCCTGGAAACCAATCTGCAACCAGTGGAGCTGGCGCAACAAAGGAGTAGTGTGCTCCCTGTACGCCGCTCCAGTTAACAACCTGGCTGCCAACCATTGGACTAATTGAAGCTTCCAAGAAGTTTTCAAAGGCAGCCCCATGTAGAGAGTGTTGCAGTAGTCTATTCTGGATGTAACCAGAGCATGGACCACCGTGGACAAGTCAGACTTCAAGTTCTTTAAAGAAGTGAGTGAATTTCCTTAAATTCATACCCTAAAACCCTGAACGGAATTTCCCATCCATCAGCTAGGAAATGTCTTTTCTTTGTGCCTTGGCTGCACTTTCATAATCCCAGTCCATCACATTGACCAGTAGAGGCTCAAAGGTCAGCCTGTGATCATCAGCATGGCAATGGATTTCCCTCATTCTTTTGCCAAAGAGCCATCAGTGCTAAACCTTTTCTATTGCATTTGAATTTCTCTTTGAAATGCTGAAGGGGCCAAGGCGAACTCTGATGAGTTACATTTGTTCCTCCGTAATTTGACTTTGACCTTGACTCAGCTGTGTCTGTACCTGCACACATGTGCTGTGCTTCTTGCCTCCATTGAGAAACACCTGTGTGCACAGAAAAAAATGTATCTGTCTTATCTGGTTAACATTCCTGGTTCATTTTTCCTTTCACTCTGCTATGTTACTCTTTTGAATACCTGGTTCTCAGATTAGATCTGTCACTTTCTCCCCCTTCTTGCCCATACAAGTATTGAAGAGACCCGTCACCAACGAGGAGCTGCTGACCCCTGGGGCCCCGTATGTCAAGAAAACGCTCACGGTAAGTGACCCGGTCATCAGAATGTTACATTAGCAGTCTTGCCAAAGTCAGTCCTTTTGACGGCGTGCTGTAGACCAAAGCCTCACTTAAGGCCAGTACATTCAAGCAGAAGAATCGAGTGGTAAAATCTTTCTTGGATGATAAGTGAGAAGTCTTTGATGGAGCAAAGTGATGGTCATCTAGTTGTCATCTAGCTTTGCACAGTGACAATTTAAACACCTTTGGGAAGTTAACAATCAGGCCATGAGAGCTGGAGCAGATAAAGGTTACCTTTGGAGGAATTCAACTCTCCCAAAACCACAAACAACTTGACATTTCTGGGAGTTTGAGCCCCCAAAGATTTCCCCCCAAGCTTTGGAGAAGGCAAAAGTTTACCCAACAGTGCAGGACACATTGAAGTCCATTTAGTGTTAGAGCAGAGCTCATGGCTTGAAGAACTATAATTTTTGGTTAACAGTGGTGATAATGTCATTTTCCCTGACTTGGGTTTGCATTTTAGCTGCAGTCACCCAGAATGGGATAGAGAGAGAGAGAGAGAATAGGAATTGGTGTTTGGTTCCTATGTGTGCATTATTTGTGTTTGTATGTGCATACTTCCCCCTGGGAAGCCCTGGCCCTTGAGCGCTCCAGCTGGAGGTCAGCTGTGACCAGCAGTGCTGCAGAATTTGAAGAGGCACGAATGGAGGGTAAAAGAGAGAAATGTGCCAAGAGGAAGGTGCATCAAGCCAACCCCAACTCAGACCACCTTCCACCTGGAAACCAATGCCCTCACTGAGGAAGAAGATGCAGATCAAGAATAGGGCTCCACAGTCACCTATGGACCAACCACCAGGACACCGAACTTGGAGGACCATCATACTCGGATTACGAGGGATCGCCTAAGTAAGTAATACTTTCTTACTTGGGTGATCCTTCTTAGTCTGGGGATGGTGGCCCTCCAAGTGTAGTGTCTTGGCGGTGGGTCTGTAGATGGCTCGTTGTCTATAACACAGTTTTTAAGGTTAGCTTTAAGTCCATCTTTCAATCTTTTTCCCTGTCCACCAAAATTACATTTCCCATTCTTAAGGTGGGAGTATAATAACCACTTTAGGAGATGGTGATTGGGCATTTGAACAACATAGTCAGTCCAGAGGAGTTGATGGTGCAGCAGCATTGCTTCAGTGCTGGTGGTCTTTGCTTCTTTGAGAATGCTGACATTTGTCCGTCTGTCTTCCCAAGAGATTGCAGGATTTTTCAGAGACAACACTGATGGAATCATTATAGGAGTTGAGTGTGATGTCTGTAGACAGTCCACGTTTCGCAGATGTATGGCAGGGTGGGGAGGACAATAGCTTTATAAACAAGCACCTTGGTCTTCCTACAGATGTCTCAATTCTTGAACACTCTCTGCTTCATTCAGAAAAATGCTGCACTCGCAGAGCTCAGGCAGTGTTGTATTTCAGTGTCGATGTTGACTTTTGTGGAGAGGCGGCTGCTAAGGTAGCGGAAATGATCATTTTCTAATGTTGCATCATTAAGCTGTATTGCTGGCACTGTAGAATATGTGCATATCAATATGAACATGCAGAATAAAGTCAGACAACCCCAAAAGCCATGGATAGGAGGACATTTGAACCGTGGAGAAATATTTCTGCTTGGGGCTCCACGCACCTACGTTCATTGGATTAAGTTGCACAGGAATTTCCTTGTATCATACTGAAAAGAAGAGTAGGTTGTGTGCGTATGTGTTTGTGTGTTTAATAAGGTCAGGAAGCTCTGCCTGACTATGTCCATCCAGCCTAGCACTGCTGACATCTCCACTTGGCAGCAGCTCTCCAGAGTCTATGAACTCCTCCACTTATTTGGAGATGCTGAGAATTGAATGCTGTGCTCTCAGAATACACCGAGAGTCTGTCAAAAGGAAATATATCCACAGATGCACTAAAACACCAGTTTGTTGATTCCATAAAGATATTAATTTGGGGTGCAGCAATAAAATCCAAGGCAAAGGCAAAGTTAAATCACTCCCCTTAGCGAATTGAAGCAATCCTTCACCATTTCGACAGTCCACCAGGGTCCCCATGATGAATGAGATATCATTCCCAACAGAACTCTTCCTGGACTGAAATATGGCTGGGGCACACCTAAATTATACTTTGAGTTATCTCATAGGTAATATCATATGAAAAAATTGATGCTTTTGTCTTGGTGACTTTCCATATGTCTGTTCTTCTCTGTTCTTCATTCGTTCAGTCATTTCCGACTCTTCATGACCTCATGGACCAGTCCACGCTGGAGCTCCCTGTCGGCCGTCACCATCCCCAGCTTCTTTAAGGTCAATCCAGTCACTTCAAGGGTGCCATCCATCCATCTTACCCTTGGTCGGCCCCTCTTCCTTCCATATGTCTTCCATATGTCTACATGATTAAAATAAAATGTAGTCACCTCTCACCTTCTGAAAGCAGTTCATATGGCATACAGCCAGTTCCACAGGTTACTCCAGCCTTTAATTTGTTATAAGAAAAACTGCAGATTACTCCAGAACTTCCAGGAAAATCTGGAGTAACGTGTGGGGCGTTTGATGTGTGGACAGTTTGTTGTTTCATTGGCCAGAGGCAGCTCTTCGACATAGACTTCTTGTTTATGTTGGTTTACTAGGGTACTGTGTGGTGACCTCCTCACAACTGATGTCACCAGCAAGGCTAGGGAACTGTTTCTGGCTGTCGTGACAGCAGCAAAGGCTCCTAGGAGGATAGGATAGTGGTACAATTGCATCTGTTAGTCTGGCCAGCTGTGTGCACTGCAAAACAACTTTGGGGTGATTCCTCATGGTGTGTGTTGATTCTCCATGGTGTATCCCGGGCAGGTATGTAGCAGATTATTTTATCTGGTGCAGATGCAGACAAAGCTACATTTTACAGAGTTTACAACTGTGTTACAGGGTCTGCAATCATATTGAGCAAAGAAAATGTTTACAATTGTTTTCTGCCTTTTGTTGGCAGATTGTGGGAGATGCGGTCGGTTGGGGGTTTGTGGTACGTGGAGGACAACCCTGTCACATTCAGGCTGTGGATCCAGGAGGACCAGCAGCCGCTGCTGGCATGAAGGTACCAGTTTTGCATTGAGCCCCATAAGACACACAAACATGCATGACATTCCTCTTACAACAATGGGTGACATAATTGTATTATTCTATTGCAATATACTGTTTTGGGTTTTCAAGCTGCACATTTCCCCTTCTAAGAAAAGACAATCCGGTTAGGGCCAGAGTGGTATGGTGCTTATTGGGTATTGGACTACGACTCTGCAGACCAGGATTTGATTCCCCACTTGGCCATGAAAACCCACCAGGCACATCCTCTCAGCCTCACAAGAAGACAAAGACAACCTCTTTATTAGGGTCATCATAACTCACAATTAACTTGAAGGCAACCAGGGACAATAACAAAAGTTTACTTCTATTTTTTGGGAAATAGTCAGATAGCTGACACCCTCCATTTTTATTTGCTCTCTCATCATGTTATCTCCACTCTATCCAAATATATAGGCTGTTTCCTTGAAAGGTTTCTTTTGAACAGTATTGGTCACATCTGAGGTTTAATAGCCATTGAGTCAAATAGGATGCTTTTAAGTGTTGCAGAAAACTGCATGAATATTCTCCTTCTCGGCACCTGGAAGCTGAGGAATGAGTTAGTAAAGATTGCAATGTACGGCTTAACACTCAAAACCTTTCTATCTCCCACTCAAGCATGAAAGGTGTGAATGCCACCTGAGCCCACTGAGCCAAAAGTAAATGGTTTTTTGCATTCCTTCTTCAAGATCAATTTCTTAGGAATTGGGAGGGGGACTTGCTGCTGGAAGGCTTTTGAGGAGAAGAAGGGAAGGAGAGGGGGATGTTTCATATAAAAATGCTTTGATTTCCAAAAGTTTTCTAATAGGATTGTTGTAGTGGTTGTTGTGATTGTTGGTGTTGTTTTATGCCTTAAAGTCATTTTGACATATGGAAACCCCAAGGCTAAGTTATCACAAAGCTTTCTAAGGTTGAAAATGTGTGGTTTGCCCAAAGTCACCCATTGGGTTTTCTGAGTGGCATGGTGTGTTATATTCCTTATATTTTATTATATTTTAAATATATTTAACCATGCAGTCATGCCAGTGACATTTATTTATTTGTCGTGTCAGAGCAACCAGTCCATTATATTACATTTCTAACAGAACAAAGCAAACAAACAGACAACATACAAAACTTGTGAGTTTGGTAGTTGGTTAAATGTCCTTTGACCAATATTTGGCCACTTGGAGTGCTTCTGGTGTTGCTGCAAGAAGGTCCTCCACTGTGCATGTGGCAGGGCTCAGGGTGCATTGCAGCAGGTGGTCAGTGGTTTGCTCTTCTCCACACTCGCATGTCGAGGATTCCACTTTGTAGCCCCATTTCTGAAGGTTGGCTCTGCATCTTGTGGTGCCAGAGCGCAGTCTGTTCAGTGCCTTCCAAGTCGCCCAGTTTTCTGTGTGCCCAGGAGGGAGTCTCTCATTTGGTATCAGCCATTGGTTGAGGTTCTGGGTTTGAGCCTGCCACTTTTGGACTCTCGCTTGCTGAGGTGTTCCAGCGAGTGTCTCTGTAGATCTTAGAAAACTATTTCTAGATTTAAGTCATGCCAGTGACATGACCTTGGAGGTGTCTATGGATAATGCCAGCTCTTTGGCTTAGACTTTCCCCTGGACTTAATGTCAGGGGAAAACCTTTACCTTTAACCATGTTTTAAAAAATAATTATACTGCTATTCTTTTTAAACTTTTATAAAACATGATTTTAACTTTGTCTTGTTTTCAATTCCTCGAAGTCACTTTAGATCCCATGCTAGGAAAAAGGTGAGGTGTATATTAACAAAAATCCTATAGCATCCGTGAACACCCTTTCAATAACAGCCCCACTCCGATCTTACAGATTCAAGCCATAGCTTCCTTGATTAAGTCCATCCATGTGTTCATGCCCATCCTTCTTTTTTTCCTATTGCTTTTTACTTTACTAAGATTGGTGTTTTTCCCACTCCTAGTGAGTCATGTCTTCTCATGATATGGCCAAAGTACAACAGTCTCAGTTTAGCCTTGGCTTCTATGGAGAGTTCAGACTTGATCAGTTCTATGACCCATTAATTTGTCCTTTTCACTGTCCATGGTATCTCACAACTGTTTTCTTGAACCACATTTCAAATGTTGTGTGTGTATTTAACCATCCATCTTTCACAACAATACATCGAAATTAGGATTACAATTGCATAAGAAATATTTTTGTGGAAACCCAAGCTGTAAATTCATCTTTCTCCTTTTCCTTCCAGGTGTGCCAATTTGTTTATTCTGTGAATGGGATATATGTTCTACACTTGGACTACCAAACCATCAGTAGTCTCATCATGACAGGGCCTCGGACACTTGTAATGGAAATTATGGAAGGTATTGAATAAGTGAAAAGAACGGCCCATTCCTTTTTGACACATCTATTTGTCTGAGGTTGGAAACATACTGTGTCACCTATGAACTGTCATTCATCTAAACACAGAAGGAACTGAGCGTTCTTCCTTATGCCTACTGATTCATTACTACTGGAACAAGTCTTACAATCTTTTATTTGATTTTGAAGAAACAGTCCTGAAAAGACCCCAAAATAATGACTTCTCCAGAGGCATAAAGAATTTAATCGAGGCATGACCCCCACTCCTCCAAAGAAGCATGATACGTCAATGGACTGTGAGCCATAATTTTTCCAAATACTACCAAAGTACAGCATTATCTCAATATCTTCTTCTGGTCTTGCTGCTGTTATGTTTCTACAAGTCAAGTCCAGTTTGTGATAATTCTATCATTGGGTTCTCTTGAAAAGACAAAAAGGTTCCCTTTTGCCTTCTGTTGAGGATACACTACACTGGCTCTGGACCTGTCCAGATGTTCAACCTCAACTGTGGCAACAGTGGGTTGGGTTCTGCAGAGCTCCGGAGAGCTCCTGGCCATCATCGAGTAACTTTGCTGCCATCCACAAAGGTGCTTACATAACTAGGGGAGGGAGGTCCCTGTCAATCAGGACAGTTAGAGGGTATTCTAGGATGTTTTTCTAGTCATAGAAGAGATGGATTTTACACATCTCATACCAGGAGAGTTCTCTTACATTCACGTCCTGCTCATGGACTTACCAGAAGCATCTAGTTGACCACTTGTGAATACAACCTTGGACTACATGAACTTTTAGGATACTGTCCAACATTTCACAGAGGAAAACTGGGGCACATGGCAGCCAAGCAACATCGGTTTGAGAACATGTTTTGATCTCATCTAGCACATTTCATGTTATGTCATCAATGATGACATAAATGCTCTTCTTTCATGCTTGTAGACCTTCACAAAAGCACTTACCATCCTTATTTTCCCACAATACTGAGAAATGGGGAATGCAATGTATCTGTAATCACAGATGCATCATATTGTCTATTCCTTAGTATTCCAAAGTCTTGATGTATGCTTATGCCATCCTTTGGAAGTAGGTTGTGGAACTTTTTTTTTTAATGTCAGGAGCAACTTGAGAAACTGCATTCTCTGGTGTGAGAGAATTGACTGGCTGCAAGGACGTTGCCCAGGTGACACCTGGATGTCTTACCATCCTGCAGAAGGCTTCTCTCATGTCCCTACATGGGAATCTGGAGCTGACAGATGGGAGTTCACCCCACTCCCTAGATTCAAACCGCTGATCTTTTGGTCAGCAGTCCTTTCCTGCACAAGGGTTTAACCCATTGCACCACAGGAGGCTCCTTGGTTGTGGAACTGATTCTCAGTCATGGCCTACTTCACTAGCAGATGCTCTTATTCTGCTTTCTATTTCCATAACAGCTTCAGAGTGGAAACTTTCAATTCTACTTATTTGCATGCATAGTATGTTTTAAGAATGGCCTGTATTCCTGTTCATTGTTGTTATTGTTGTGTGCCTTCAAATTGTTTATGTTCTATGATGACTCTAAGGTGCCATAGGTCACAGGGTTTTCTTGGCAAGATTGGTTCAAGGCAGTTGCTTTTGCCTTCCTCTGAGGTTGAGAGATGGGACTTGTCCAGGTCACCCAGTGGTTTTGTGGCCAGGCAGGGATTCAGTTCCTGATCTCCAGAATCATAGTCCCATGCTCAAAACACTATATCATGCTGGGAACAGCATCACAATATGTATTTGTAACCATGTCAGCCTTCCACAGAAAGGGGCTTTCCAGTCTACATTGTTCCCTTGCCTCTGGACAAAGAATGTAGAAATCTTGTTTAACTGTTGTAGCTCTCTGAGTTTCAAGTGGTTCAGAATTTGCAAGGAACATCAACATACCCAAGCACTTAAAATCATGCAATTTATGTTACTGTGAAATGTTGTTTCCTTCTGATAAGACCGAGGATCTATATGCATCACATCTGAGAGTATGGAAGAATTGTAGATGATTATATAGTGACTGTGACATTAATAAAGTTGAACAACACAATTCAACCATCTTTCTCTTATGAAACTTTGTGTGTGTGTGAATGCAGGAATATACATACATATACATACAGAAATACATCTGTTTTGTGAATATAAAAAGTTTTTTTTAAAAAAAATATATGTCAGTGCTGGGGGTTTTCCACTTTAGTGGAACTATATTTATTAACTGAAGTCACATACCTTCCAACAGTCCTGATACATCCTCTGTATCCAATCCTATAATAAGTCAAGCCACATATCTATTTGGGGAAAGAGGAAATAAAATGCTTAAAATATAAAATTATAAAACCCAACTTTGTAGCTGAGATAGCAAATGTGCTCAGTCATGCCTTCAGCTCCCAATTCAGTATTTCCAGTCTGAACATCAAGTTGGGCTTGGACTGTCTTCAAACCATTGTGGGGAGCTTTAAAACACTCTGTAATGTGAGATTTCTGAAAACCACCACAAAATCATAATGAAATTTAGTGGGCATGTGTATGATTTAATGCTTCTTTGAAATTTCAACTCCAGTTCAACCCAACCAATATTTTTTTAAAGAAGAAGGTATGAAAGATATAAAGCATATTGTTATGGAAAATCTTACCAATACCCACCTTCTTCTATCTAAACGTTTTGTAATGTTTGGGTGTTATATTCTGCTGCTCCATTGCAGTGAACCCCTCTCTTAGGGAATGAGAACAACCACCCTAGTTCAGGCCAAAAGGGAACCTAGTCCAGTAAGGTGGTTTCCCCAGTCCCGTCCTCTGAAATATAGCATACAGCACCTGGTATTTGTTAGCAGTCTCCCATCCAAGTACTAACCAGGGCTGAACCTGTTTTCCTTCCAAGATCAGATGGGATCTGATGCCTTCAGAGCATTTAAGCCAGTGGTTCTCAACCTGGGGTCCCCAGATGTTTTTGGCCTACAACTCCCAGAAATCCCAGCCAGTTTACCAGCTATTAGGATTTCTGGGAGTTGAAGGCCAACAACATCTGGGAACCCCAGGTTGAGAACCACTGATTTAAGCCCTACTGTGGTTGGTACATGCTGCATGGTGTTGCTCAATGACATCGATCCCTAGTTTTCAGATTTTGGATGACCCTGAAATGGCAACTCTAGTCCCATGTACCCATCAGACTAAATGCAAAGCGTGGTGGAAATCACAACCGTTTTAGACTTAGGACAATCTCATGTGTGACGAGGGAATATAAGGATATCCTAGACCGAAGTCTTTTGTTTTCTAGGCCCTGAGGCAAAAATTGTATAGCATACTAAATTATAGTTTTCTTCATATATTCAGATCCTGTCCTCCCCAAGTTATCCTCCTCAGTGCCGTTCTCATCTGCTGTCTTTAGTTAGATCTGTCTGCGGCACATTCATGAATAGACAATTCCATCTGGCAACCACAGCTCACAGCTCATGACCCTTCCCTGACGCTTGGACTTTAGGTCCTGCTGAATTTTCATGAAGGGCCTTTTCAGAGACTTGAAAGGAGCACTTGTTAAAATTTCATTCCTCAAAGAACCTTTGCTGGGTAATCACTAGCCATCACTTCCTGTTTGGAGACGATGGTGTAATAGCTGCCTTAGAGAGGCTGGGCGAGAAAGGAGGATTTTCTGGCTGCTTTTGGAAGGACATTTGTGCCCTACTCGCAATCCCAAAAAGCACAATACCTTGAAGACAGGCAACATCATGAACTAGAAATGACACTTTTTGAACTCCAGCCAGCTTTTTCCCAAATAAAGGCACAAATGAATCCTGGTCTTGAGGTCTTCCCATGCCTCCAGACATTCTGTAAGAGGATTCCCCCCCCCCCTTTTTTAAAGGTTCCATGTGTCATATTGCAATTTGAAGTTGGGACCCCCAAAAGATTTGATGTTCAGGAATAACCTATAGCTACTTCACTTGGCTTCGGAAGCCTGAAAAAAGAACAATAGCTAAGCAACACGTTCCTACTATCTGATAGATTCAAAGGAAGGTACACCCAAGTTCCCAGGAACAAATTAAATATTAGAATGCAATATTTATTGGGAGCATTGCAATCCCATACACAACAAGTTGGACTCTTTGTTAAAAAAAATTCAGACCCATCGTTCTGGAATAACCATCCACTGTTCGGTCAAAGATATCTTCCACTCTGTATTGTCAAAAGCTTTCATGGCCGGAATCATTGGGTTGTTGTAAGTTTTTTGAGCTGTATGGCCATGTTCTAGAAGCATTCTCTTCTGACGTTTCACCTGCGTCTGTGGCAAGCATCCTCAGAGGTAACCAGTCCATGCTCTGGTTTCATCCCATATAGACTACTGCAATGCGCTCTATGTGGGATTGCCTTTGAAGACTGTCCGGAAGCTTCAATTGGCCCAATGGATGGCAGCCAGATTACTAACAGGAGCGACACTCAGGGAGCATACAACTTCTCTGCTGTGCCAGCTCCACTGGCTGCCAGTTTGCTATATAGCATGGTTGAGAGGGCAACGGCTTTATAAACAAGCACCTCGGTCTCTCTACGGATGTCCTGGTCCTCAAATACTCTCTGCTTCATTCAGAAAAATGCTGCACTCACAGAGATCTCCATATTTCTGTTACTCACCTTAGATGTCTTGAAATAATTTATGGATAAGGCAGCAGTTGTGTAATGGAAATCCAGGGGAGCACAGCTCTGGAACTGTTTTTCAGAACAGGAACAATGATGCCATGTGCCCAAATATGAGGGTTAATTACCAGATTCTTCTTGCTCTAGGAAGTTAATGAAAAGATAATGAGGTGCTTACTCTGTGCTATTGTTTGTGACAAATAGGTAAGAGAAAGTCAGAATATGAAGAAATCTAGCAAGCAAAGGATGACTGCATACGTGTTTTCTTTTCCTTGATGGCCTTCCTTACTCACTCTAGCAGTTGCAATGGTAACATTTCTTACTAAATAGGTTGCATTTTTAATTAAAAGCTCAGAGTTACATTCAGTTGGTTAAAGATGAGATGTTTAATAAAACTTACTATGTTTCACAAGCTGTACCTCTGTAGTTAAGGGAAAACGTTGCGGTAATTATGCACAGGATTGCAGTCATGCTCTGTAAAATATCTTCTCTTGCTTTGTTCTTTGGATAACTGTGTTTTTATAATGGGATTCTTAACTGGTGTCAGTTCTGCTGAATACAAATAACAGAAAAAAACAGAGTATATATTAATTATCTTTTCCAGAGCTCTAGGTAATGTATTCCTGCACTAAGATGAAGGAGAAGGAGAAGACTATTTCTACTATTTTACTATTACCTGGTTCCAAGCGCCTATGACTATGATTCTTAAATACCCTAAAGCAGGAATAGGCAAACCCAGTCTCTAGGACTGGATGCGGCCACTTGGGCTCTTTTCTCAGGCCCTCCTCTCTCTCAACATCCTATCCTTCCTTCCTTCTCTTTCCTTCCTCCTTTCCTCCTTTCCTCTCTTCCTTACCTCCCACTTTCTCCTTCCTTCCCTCCCTTTCTTTCCCTTCCACCTTTTTGTCCATCCTTCCCTCCTTCCCCCTCTCTTTCTCCTTCCTTCCTTCCTTCCTTCCTTCTTTCCTTCCCTTTTGTCTTTCTTCCCTCCCTTCCTCCCTTCCCTTCCATCCTTCTCTTCCTCCCTCCCTCCCTTCTCTTCTCTTCTTCCTCCTTTCCTCCTGGGGGATGTTTAGCTAGGAGAAGAGACAGTTGAGAGGGACCATGAGAACCTTGTTTCAAGATTTTAAAGGGTGTCCCATTGAGGGGGAAGGGTGGGGTGGGGGGAACTGACTTTCTGCTGCTCTAGAGACCAGGGCACAAGGGAGCAATGGTTTCAAATGCTAGGGAAAGACATTCAACTGAAAAGATTAGGAAGAACTGAGAGTAAGAGCAGTTGGAGAGTGGCCTAGGCTGCCTGGGAATGTGGTGGAGTCTCCTTCTCTGGAGACTTTTCTGTAGAGGCTGTCTATCGAGAGTACTTTGATTGTGCCTTCTTGCATGGCAGGAGGTTGGACTGGATGGACCTTGCGGGTCTCTTTCAATGGATACATTTTTTCTCTCCCATCCACTATCTCATCCTGACCAAGGGTAACCCTTTTGGGATCCAAACATTTCCTGTCTTTCCTTCGCTTTCTGCCTCTGAAAGAAAAGAGGAATGGGAGAAAAGGGCAGGGAGGGGGCTTGGGGAGAACCCCCCCCCCAGCTCACCATGCAGCCCCCAAGCTAGAATGTTTGCCCATGCCTGCCTTAAAGGCACCAGATACTTCTGATCTTGGAAGCTAAGCAGTGTCTGCTCTGGTCTGTACTTGGGTGGGAGGCAGTCCACAAATACCGGGCACTATATTTAAAGGAATGGGAAATAAGCTTCTGAGTATTCCTTACTTAAGAAAACCAGGCAAAATTATGATAACTGGGACCCTACACTAGTAGTTGGGTGCCTACGCTGGTTGTGCAACATGGGGCAGAATTAATGAAGGGAAGACATGCACAACACGGGTCAGAAAGGGGGGGGGATCAAAAGGGGCGAGAAATAAACAGCCAAGCATACTGTTGCAACTCAGAGTAAGCTTCACCTTGCTTCCAAACACCACCACACAAGAGCTGTAGTTTTATAGTTTATTGAGGAAAAAATCCAAGTCACAATAAAGAATAAGCATTGCAAAGTTCCAAAGATTAAGGTTAAAAGCAGAATATAGTTCCAAAGATCTTGTTGGGGTTCAGCCTGAGTTTGAACTTGAACCTGATTCTCTGTTTGTTCCTCCTGATGCTAATGAAAGTATATTTACTGATGCTAGTGGA